AAGATTAATTGTAAAAGTGTATCCTGCTACTTTTTGTAAAGATAGGTGTTAAATATATTTTAGCATAACAGTGATTATACTTACAATCAAGTTTCCGATTTCTATAGCCTTTGGGACAAGGTTTCTTTAGTATCTTTTATTATATTACATATGATGTCAGAAGTGTGTACTGTTTGGTTTGGCGGAACTGTTTTTTCTCCTTTCTTTTTAAAATTTTTGTGACAAGGGAAATCATGCTGATCTAAGGAAGATACAGGGATATATTTGTAAGTGAATATGATTAAAAAACAAAAAAATGATAAAATTATCAGAAATCAAAATAAAATATTCATTATGTGGAGTTGTAGTTTTATGTAAACTTTTTTTTTTCATTTTTGGTGAGGCAATTGGGGTTAAGTAACTTGCCCAGAGTCACATAGCTAGTAAGTGTTATGTGTCTGAGGCTGGATTTGAACTCAGGACCTCCTCCTGACTCTAGGGCCAGTGCTCTATCCTCTGTGCCACCTAGCTACCCCAACAAATTTTTTTTAAAACAACCCCAATGATAATAAAGCATTTCTATGATACTTTAAAGTTTACGAAGTATTTTAATCTTTTCATCCACATAACCACACTACAAGGTAGGTGCCATTTTTAATCCCCAATACAGAGATGAGGAAGTTGAAATAGTCAGAGGAAAGGTGACTTGTCTAAGGTTTCACAACTAGGAAGTGTTTGAGGCTGGATTTGAATTCAGGCCTTCCTGATGCCTGGTCCAGGACCCTATCCACTGTACCACCTAGCCATCTCTGGTCAGCCTTGATTTAAAGATCATGGAAACCCTCTGGTCTGGTGGTACATTTTTTAATCTGTAAATGGGTCCTCACGATTCTTCCCCATATCCAAGGAAAAGAAGAGATCTGCTTCTGGAGCAAAGGAGACAAACATCCACTGGAGGCTGAGAAGGAGAGGACTGTTGAAGGCCAGGGCCAGGGTCTGTCTGGGAGCAAAGGCCTCTCATGTCCTGGGAGCTGAGGACAGCTACTGGACAGTGCAGGGGGACAGAGACAGGAAACCAGGGTGGGCAGGAGCAGTGGGTGACAGTCACTGAGCAGCTACTGAGCCCAGCCATTACCAGGCACCAGGGAGCCGCTGAGGGCGGGAGAGGGGAGCAAAAATAGAGAGAAGCTCTAGTGCCTGGGGGAAGGCCTGACCAGGTCTCTGGGCAAAGGCTGCTGAAGGATGGGTAACATTATGGTCTGTAGGAGAGAAGTTTCCTTACCTTATATATCAAATTATAGAATGATTATGAATCATGTAACCTTAGGGTCTTTTAATTATTTATTTTTTTGGAGGAAGCAGTCAGGGTTAAGTGACTTGCCCTGGTTCCCACAGCCACATAGCTAGTACATGGTTGAGGCCGGATTTGAACTCAGGTCCTCCTGACTCAAGATCAGCATTCTATCCACTGTACTACCTAGCAGCCCCACCTAAGTGCCTTTTAATAGATCATGTGACTACTCCTTTTGTATGGGAATTAATATCCCAAAGTTCTCAGATCATCTGTATAGAGTCATTGAGGTAGAAAAATGACTATTCCCTAGTCTATAGTGGCCCATCAAAATCTTGTCTTTTTATGGGGCCATTTTAATGAACAAATAAATTCATCAATTAAAAAATATTGATTAGGCTGTTATAATGGACAAAACAGTGTGCTAAGAGCTGGAGACCCAAGCAGACTTGTGAGATGGCCCCTGCTCGCCAGAGCTCCTCCTGCAGTAGGGGGAGATGTCCCATACTGGAGTCTTCAGCTGCAAGTTGGATGGAAATGTCTCGTGGTCCTCAGGGTGCAGCAGCAAAGTGATGGTAATTCCTCTTCATTAATGCAATTTCTTGTAATAAAACCGAATCACTTTCTGAGGCTGAACCATTTGCCATTTCCAAGGGCTTTGGTGGGAGGAAAGTTTTTTGGGAGCCGTGGTAATTGTGCAGATAGGGGGAAATATGCAACAATATTTATATAAACACTAGGAAATGACTCCCTTCTGTTGTACTGACTCTAACGCCCACAAATGCACAAAAATGTGAATCACTTCCAGGCTGGTCCTAGTCTGGTCCTGATTTTTCTTGGCATCTTCGAGGTTTTCAGGGCTCATGGGGACAGGGTAGTATCTAACACCGACACTCCCAACTCTGGGTCCGAGAAGGGGAATGCTGCACTCATCCAGCTCAGGGTCCTGGGCTATCTTTGGGGCCTGTCCTGTGGACAGAAGCCTCCC